GATTTATCCTTTTAAAATACATAATTTGGAAGGCCAAATGTATGCAAAAAACTCATTTTAAATCATAAAATTTATTCCTGTTCTTTAATTAGAATTTCGAATTTTTGTTCAATTATTTAAACATTTCCCATAAGCTTGTATGGCCAAAAATAACAATAATAATAATGGAATCCGACTGGTGACAATCTCTGCATGAATATGAAATACAAACATTTCGAATAAATTGAGAACAAGTTGGAAGGTCGTTGCCTATTAAAGGCTTATTATGGATTAGCCTGATGTGACCTATTCGCAATCTAGATAGAATCAGAAATTCTTTTCTCTCGAGTTCCTCAATTGGCCATTTATGTACAACTCACTCGATTTCTTTCGTACTATCTCTACAGAAATTCCGTATTGCCGCCAATTTTCGTTTGATTATGTTTTTAACATAAACGACTATACCATCTGGGTAGAGCGAAAATTTGATGGTTCTTTGTGGATGGTTTGCAGCGTTCTTTGCCTATTGATCAACCCTCATCGTTATCCTATTCCATTCAAATATTATAAATACGCTAATGCTACTTAACAATAATAATAAAACAAAAAAACAATAACAGTTCTTATTCTTTATACTATGATTGATTTTGGGCATTGTAGTTTATTACCCCTTTATTTTATTTCATTTTTCCGCTCCGACAGCCTCAAAAATTCCTGAAAAAAAGAAAGAAATCTTGCACGCATTACTCGAATTCAGCCATTCAAAGATATAAGAATTTGGGAAAAGGCCTAAATCTCATTATGAATTCCAATAAATTTAAGAAAGCTTAAAAGTTCTGTTCGAAAAGAACACTGGGGACCTAGTAACTCCTTTAAATCACTCGAAAGGTTGAACCTTTGCCTAAAGGGTTGCAAAATGCGACAGTCGACCAAAATATGTTTTACAGACAGAATACATATGAATTTGAAATACAGACACTTCGAATATATCGAGGGCAATTTGGAAGGTTGTTGCCTATTAAATTCCTTTTCAAATTTTGGAGGATTCTGTGTTTGTCTTGTTGCCCTAAGGTAAGGTTCTTTCTGGGCTTTGGTATACCTTTTCAATACCCAAAACTCCTTTCTTATGTCCTAGCTCCCAAGATATTGTCAGGGTTGGTGCATAAGGGTTAAGTACCAAGAAGTCAAGTTATAATTAAATAATTATTACTAATAAAAAAACACATCTAGCATAACTATACTGTATTTGTATCACGGGTCTAACTTGAAAATCGCAATCCTGAAAGGGTGTTTTACTTATCCAGTTTAGCCCCTAGGGTGCAGAAATAGGATCAAGGCGAGTTCGTTCATTGAAAATTATATCCGTTTTAAATTTACTTATCCTGCGTGTAAAATTTATTTATTTTAGACAGATAAGGGATGGATCTGGACGTCATTGACGCGGCAGGACGGTGTTTTACTGGTTTTCAAAAGGCGGGCAAAGGCATTTGAAACAGGACGATCAACTTGAAAGAATAAAAAGGCGGCGGGATGGATGAAAAAAGTGTTGAACCATTGGAAGTGTAACAATTGGATGTTATGTAAATCTGAGATAAGGACGAATCGGAATGGTGTCAACTTCGGATGGTTAAAGGGAAAGATGGATTTACCTGTGGTTGATCTGCTTTGGTCGGCGGCCGGCTTCCAGACACGGCGAAGACGAGGCGGCGGAGATTTCACGAGAAAATGGCCAACTCGCGACTCACGACTGACTGTCGATCTGACAGTAGAAAAACACTGATTCGCCCTCCGACAACCTGGTTAACCTTCCCTCTCTCGTCCGCGAGTAAACATAAACATCCGCCGACAAAAGATGATTTTTTTCGATTTGAAACGCATCTCATCTTAAAAAAGGAGATTTTTCTTTGCTGCCAGATCCGAAATGAAGATGGACAAATTCAACTTCCCATCTTTTCCTTAAATGTAGTACATACCAATATACTAAATGTATTATTGGTATTTATAGTTTTTTCTTTTCGATGATACGTCTGGATTAATGTTGTGCTCTTTGCTTTAACATTTGTTTTGTTTAAATAGCGTATTTGTTGTCTAATTATACTAATTCTTTCGTTCAGTATTTTTGTGTCTATCTAGCGGGCCGTGGCGCCCGAGATTCCGCCGCCCAAATACGAAAGTAAGTTTTACGATTCTACGATCCACGGTTCGATTTATTAACGTATAAAGTCTGATAGCCTAAATTACGAAAATATATATTTAGATAAACTATAAAATTATAATTAAAATATTGAAAACATATAAAATATAATGATAATAAAAGTATTTATTAATAAACACATTTTTTTACGGGTCAAAAACCAATTTCTTAAAAAAACTTATACAAAAGGAAGGAGAAAAATTATATATATATAATGCAATGCTTATAACTAACTCAGCATTAATAAAGAATAAAACACAATACACATTAATTTTCATATTCAGTTCATGCTTTCTTAATTTTAGTTCTTAAGTATTGTTACAATGATTAATTAGCAACCTATGTTTATATTAAGTTGCCACGTGCTTCTTTCTGCGACGACTTCCGACAGACGGACTTTGTCCATACTTTTTTCTATTGTTGTAAATATTATTACTGTAAATAAAAGTCTCTCTCTCTCTCTCACTCTCTCTCTCGCTCCCTCTCTCTCTCTCTCTCTCTCTCTCTCTCTCTCTCTCTCTCTCCCNCTCTCACACACCCATTTGTAATATACTTGATGTGTATATTTTTTTTATATATTAATCGAAGTTTCACGTTTTTTAACGTTTAACAATGATTCTTTGTCTTAAAAAAGTAAAGAAAAATCTAAATTCTAAAAAAATTGAAAAACTGCCAGAAAAAATCGTTTTAATTTTGTTTTAGATTTTTAATTAACATTTCAATATCGCGTATGACCTCCTCTTGGTTTAATTATATCTCGAAGACGCCTCGACATACTTTCTACCAATCTGGAAATGTCTCTTTGTTGTAGGTTAGCCCATTCTTCATGAATAGTCCTTTCAAGATCGTGGAGTTATCAGGAAGTGATGGACGTGCTCTTGTTCGTCTTTTGAGGTTATCTGATAAATGTAAAAGAATGGGTTGGCCAGGGATGTTATGTTGTTGAAGGTACATTTGTACTATGCGAGTGACATGATTTCATCGAGGATAGGAAACGCATGACGTTCCAAAATTTAGCCCACATAGCAAGTTGCCGTCAAAGACCCTCCACAAACAACAACCAACTCTGTGCAACTCTCCATTGAAATTCCTGCTCATGTTAGCTCTGGGAAAAATTACAAGTTTCGTAATTCCGATGGCAATAGCCGCATACATGATGGAACGTCCATCATCAATAAGTGCCACACCACGCACAACTTCCTCAGCACTAAGTGGCATTGTATGTTTAACAATTGAAATTAAGAAAACAAAGATGAAAACTATACACTTTATTGCTTTAGAATTCAATTGAGTCTGAATAAACATTTTAAATTCTGTAAAACGTAAACCTTGAAAAATCCTTTATCCTTGTTTTAGAATAAGGATTAAGTGTATTTACCTCTAATTGATATTCCCAATTTAAAATGTAGCATAAACAAATATGTATAAATAAAAATAATGAGACAAATTAAGGGCAGAATTTTCTTTTATCAAGAAAATGAAAAAAAAAAAATTCAATTGGGTGCATTTTTTCCCCTGTCAGTGTATATAAGTTTGTAACTATTCTTATTGAGGTTCGATAAGGGTATTCAATATCCCACCATCGTAACAAACTACACATTCACTCTAATAAATACAATCACTCTCAATATATACATAACATAACACAAAATGAAATATCTACGAAGTAGGGTGGTGGAGTTCTCAAGTCACACACTCTGTAGAAGTTGATAACTAATCTAATTGAAGTTTGATGAGGTATTTTATATCCAACCATTGTCTCAGACTACACATTCACTCTAATAAATACTTTCTATCTCACTAAACACAAAAGGTAAGAGAAAAAAATCTATCAAGTAGATTAGTGGAGTACTTGATTTGTACATACTATATAATCTAATTGAAATTGGATCTTTAAAATCATGGTGTAAAGAAAAATAAGACAACTTTAATTCTTATCCAAAATTAACTAACTAAATCTGACCTAAATTTTTTCCGCAGATGTGTTTTTACAACCTCCAATACCTTGGCTGGGGCATTCGTCACTGTATTTATTTAATATTTTATTTTCATAATTAATACATAAATTCGAACAGTATTCAAGTGTAGTAGTTTTTACTACATTCTATAACAAGCATATCATTCAAAGTGTAACTGAGAGTGGCAAGGAGTTGTTTTAGATAAAATTTCTTACATTTAGATAGCAGTATGTTGTAAATAACTGCTGTTTCTTTTTTGGTTGATTTTCTTTGCTTCAATGAAAGATTCATACAAATAAATAGCGATCTGCTTCAACCAATTCATTTATTGATGCTGTTGCATTTTTTTAAATCTATCATTGAAGTAATTATTTCTGTACCAACACACCTTCTTAACCTTCTATTGTATAATTGAATTGCTACCCTGTCCTTGTAGAAACCAAAAAATTTAAAAAATATATATATAAAGATTTGTCAGTTTCTTGAATCGTATTGAGGTTTCTTAACCTAAAGTTGTCTTTAAACAACCTGTTTTGCCTATTCTTGCTGATTTTATGTAATTTTCATTTTTAGAGATTGGCCTGTGTCCACTGAAATTTGTAGTTGCAAAACATGTAAAAAGAAAAACTAATAAATTTCAAAAATAAAAATCACCATTTAAGATAAATAAATAAAAAATACTTTATACTTCATGTACTTTGAAGAATTTTACTTTATACATTTATTGTTATATTACATATAGTTACAAGGGAGGTTGTTCACTCATAAAAGTGGTTACGCAGGTCAGAAGGTGAATATAACCTCTTTTTCAAGAATAAAATAAATAGCACAAAAAAATTAAAATATTATTAATTGAATTTCACAAGAATAAAATATAAAAAATTACATTCAGCTGACTCACCAATCAATTGAAGTAAAAGTTCAGCTGAAATGTGTTTACACTTGACATTCACAAAAAAATACAAAATTCAAAACTGGTAGCCCTACATTATTTATTAACAAACAAAACACAGGCCTAGAACTTCCCACAGCAGGATAAGGGTATGACACCGGTGGGTTTAAATGAAGAAGGAGGGCATTAATTCATTTACAGGTATTTACTAGTAGAAAATAGTCGACCAAGTCTATTATCGATCTTGTAAACGAATTGCAGAAGTCCCTGAGTCTTTATTTTACCTGCAATTTTTTTCTTTTTCTTTTTATACGCAACAGCAGAAAAAGCACCCATTAAAAACAGACTATCAACACTTCTATTATCTTTTATTAAAATTATAAGTTATTAAATTACAGTTGTAGAGGTTATTAAAAAAAAAAAAACTTCATAGCTTTTTTATTTTATTGTATTTTTATATTCACTTGAAAAAAAAATTGTTTTTATAATTTTAAATGTTACAAGTGATTTTCGATGATGTCTGCAACTCTCATATATTGGAAGTTATCAAAAAGATATTCAACTATACAAAATTCCAAAAATAAATTCAATTTTTTATTTTTATTTATTTATTTATTTTATGAGAGGTCATGTAAACCCTTGGGGGTGTCGGTGTTTTTGAAAAAAAAAAAAAAAAATAATAATTTGTTAGTATATTAGGTTTGGATGCAGGACCATTGTGTTCGAACCCGGGACCTTTACCTTACTTTGATGAGTGTTGTGTCAACGTCTAAACCCCAATTCAATTTTTATGGACTTTTTTATCTGAATTTGTAGGTATAATAAAACTGTTATTCATTTGTTTTGTGATGTCAACATTCAGCCCCTGTGAAAACCTTTAACCTCTAAGTTAACATTAACATCTTGCATGATGTGTACATTGTTAAGTGACTTTATAAATTTAGATCTGATCACTTAATTCTAAGAAAAATGGCAATGATCATAGCACAAGTGTTGAAATGTGGAGTTATGTAAAAAATGACAGTTTTGTTATTCCTCTATTACACCTAAAAAATTCAATTTATGAAATAATCTGTGATAATAAATTTAGAATGATATTTTTGACCAGAGAAATAATTTTAAACTGAAATTTCACAATGCTGCTGTACAAGATAAGGATCCTGATGTTTAATTTCATTTGGGAATATACCTCTTCAGATCAAAGTTGATAAAATTTTTTAGCCCTTACAAACCAGTGTTCATGGAAAATTTGTTTTGAAAGTAATATTAAGCTTCAGTTTTGTTGAGCTTTTCTTAATGCTGATTTCGGCATTGAGCCACTTTTTGGTTCCATCTTCTCTTGTGGTGCATTTTTGCATTGCACTATCTTCAGTAATGAACTCGAGCGCCCATGAGTGTAGACGGACTAGCATCAACTTTTTTTGATGGTTGTTTTAAAAAATATTATGGTTTATCATTAATAATCCAATCAACAAATTGAATTGGAAAATCATGATTAAGATGTATTTTAAAATTAATAACGTGATTAATTTGTTTGCAGGATCGTGGCATGTCTTTGATAGGATGGTCTGGGAAGGTTTTTATATCACCGGTGAAAAGCACTTTGATTGGAGAGAGAGTGTCGGATCGGATTGAGCAGGGAGAATGTGTTTTTCAAAATGTGGTAAAGAACCTTACACCTAAATGGTCCGAATGTCTGGTTGGGAACCGAGAAGAACGCAGTGCAGAGAAGACAAAATGGCAGACTGTCGTAGAAGAGTACACCAAGCAAATCAAGCTGTTCCTATCCGACCATACGCTCGACGATCCCAAGCCCCTCCAACTTATGAGGATGGGGCACAGAACGACATTGCGCCATTTTGCCAAATTATCTGAAAAGTACAGCAAGCCAAAATTCAAGGTGGAAAATGCAATTAAGAAAAGCAAGTACGCAAAAAAAAGATGGGCTAAACTGCCGGTCGGTTATATCAAGTTAGTGGAGCCTTTAAGAAACATCCGAGTTACCGCTTCTAAAGTATGGGTGACTGAGGGAAAAGCCGTTCAACGGTACGTGCCGTGTGCTTCAAAACTGCTTGGCGAAAGTCTGAGGTTCAACCCACTCAAAATAAGCCAGCACTGTTACCATCCCAACGGTGGTAATGGGAGGAACCCAGACCCTGCCCGGGAACTCCCTAAGCTTCTGTACATACAAAACCCGATCGTGTGGGCCTCGAATAAGCTTGATTTCAGGTACTTGAGAACTTCATGGGACCCTCAGTTTACCGAACATGATTTTACGAAGGGAGCCCGTCAGGTAACACATTAATCTTGTATGCGCTTTAAATTACATTTAAAAAATTTATTAACCTCAAAATCAATTAACCATCTCAACCTTCTTATTGGATATCAGTAATCAACTTTAGTTCTAACAACTAGAAAACAGTAAAAACTAAAATAATTTATGAGAAATTACTTAATATATATTTGTACGAGAGTTAGGTAATTGCAATCAAACTTATATCAACGATAACACTTTTGGCATGATAGACAAGGCACCAGTATTCAAATGTGGGTTTTTATTAAAACCATGAGGTATTTTTTTGCGAGATTGAGTTTTTTTTAGGTAGGAGTCAATGGAGTACAAAGGTCGTAAGGTTGAATATAGGGAGTTATGATTGATTATGAGAATGTACTGGGCCCCTGAAGGATGTACAGCTTTTATAGGAAGGGAAAAATTTAGTGACTGGAGTAGTTCATTTTCTGTGGTTTCTATATGATAGGGATCTATTGTCAGGACAGGGCTGGCATTTTTGGGAAAGGTGTGGGTGAGGATTAAGTTTTTACTTTTTCATTTTTGATCAGTCATCATTGAGAAACAGAAGGGAAGTATGACAGGTTAGGATGTGTCTGGTGGCTCTCCACAATGATTAGCCTTCAGTTAATAAGGTTAGTTGTATATAGAATCATCACTTAGTTTGCAGAGTTCAGTTTTTCATTAGTAGCCAGTTTGTTAAAAAGTTGAACTTGTCATTTCTAAGTTATTATCAAATCGTAATGTGATTTCATTGATTGTAGTTTTCTTTGTTTGTCAGTTTGTATTATTTTTTAAATATACACTACTTTGTGGTTGTCGTTAGGTGTTGTATTGCATCATCTAGGTCTTATCGGATTTTGGTGGTTTTTATATTAAGCCTGTGGTCAAGTAACTGCTGTGATTCTGTCAGCTGGTCTGTGAATAAGTTTAGAAGGAAGGGTAGTTTGGATAGGATGGGAATCTAGAGCTAACAGTACACCTAAGGACGAGGACATACTACAAATTTTGTAACTAGAAGTGAAGGAAAATTGAACAAATGATGAAGTCCAATTTGTCGGGAGTTTATATTGGGAAGTATGCTAGTAAGTTGCTTCATGAAAAGTGTAATGATAGGGGGAAGTAGATAGGACTTCAGGGATTCACCTTCCAGCAGCCCCATTGAGAATATTTTATGTTGTAGTCACAACTAAAAGAAACTTAGGTCTAAGAATTAAAAGAAGTTAAAAAATTGTCTTATATCTAGTGGGTGGGAAGTAAACTAGTGCAATGTTAAAAAAATAAGGTTAGGACAACATGCTTATGACAATGGACTGTAGGAAATCACAGTTGGAAAGGGATGTAGGTTTTTAGTTGAGATAAAAAAGTCAATGGCGCGAGCGGGATTCGAACCCACGATCTTCGGCTAGATACGCCGCTGCTCTACCACTTGAGCTATCGTGACCTCAATCCATTTGGACACCAACTTTCCATCTCAACCCCACCTTTTGAATTTTCCCTCCTTTTTGCCATTTTTCAAATTCAAAAGGTGGGGTTGAGATGGGAAGTTGGTGTCTGAGTGGATCAAGACCACGATAGCTCAAGTGATAGAGCAGCGGCGTATCTAGCCGAAGATCGTGGGTTCGAATCCCACTCGTGCCATTGACTTTTTTATCTCAATTAAAAACCTTAATTAATTATAAGATATTAATTGGTCAAGCGGACCACGAAACTAGTGAAGTTATGGATAAGTATGATCATTTGAACATGGGATCTATCTCTGAACGATGCTCTCACTCAGACTTTACTTGATATTTAATGTTTTTGTTATTTTTTTCTTATGGCTTGCCTTACTTGCATACATGGTGCCAAGATTTTTATTTAATTTTATTTTTTCAATTAATTAAGGCTTTAGTTGAGATAAAAAGTCAGTGTCCCGGGCGGGATTCAAACCCACAACCTTCGGCTAAATACGCGGCTACTCTACCACTTGAGCTATTGAGACTTCGAATCACTCAGACACCATCCCCCTATCTCAACCTCACCACTCGAATTTTCCCTCCTTTTTGCCATTTTTCAAATGTCGTGTAAAATCTATTTGATTCTCGGTGATAAATGACCACGGAGAGCTTTAGTGAAGCATACTTCATTTTGCTTAACATTTATAAAGTTTCATGGTCCGATTGACCAAATAATAGCGGCATATTTAGCTGAAGGTTGTGGGTTTGAATCTCGCTCATAACGCTCAATTTTAACTCAGCCAAAGCCTTAATTAATTAAAAAGAATTTATTTGGTCAATCGGACCACAAAACCTAAGATTTCATTTTATTTTTAATTTCATGGAAGGTACTTCCTTTATTTATTTCATATTTGTTATTCTTAGGGGACACCAGCCCCAAAATAAAGTTATTTTTCTTCTTCTTGAAAGAAAACATGAAAACCTGAATTATTTTCCGAAAAACCAAATAATTTGTGAATTGTAGCTTTTGACTTAAAAAAATAAAATAAAGAAATTATCTTTTTCAATATAAAATTTTAATTTCATTTTTCGTAATTGCAGGCAGTATCAAGAATCACCCAGTTAGTAAGCAAGAATATGTTTGACGCACTCAAACCTCTCCTCACAAAAAATGCAATGTTAAACTTAAGGCGTGATGTTGAAATCTTGTGGGCTGATGAAGTCAGAAGAAACATAGGGCTTGAACCTGAAGATGTGCAGTTGATTATACCAAGAAAGCTGCATTTCAGGTCAAACGGAGGTATACATTCAATTTTTTATATATTTATACGAATTTTATGCAATTCACAATTATATTTTTTATTCAGAAAAGAAATTCTGTGATATTGATGTAGTCTTCATTGGGCTAAAGTTCCTAGAAACCAGGAACCAAAATCCACCGCTGGCCTTTATAGATATTATTGCAAGGTAATTGAATAAATTAAATCGAAATTAAAACAGGAAAATTAACCCTTGTTGATAGGTTTCACAGAAATTACACGGAAGGTACAACTCCGGATTGGACTATTTCAGCTTTCAAGGTACGCAGGTTCAACATTCTGCCTCCTAAATAGGATTGTTTTGTTCTAAGTTCAGTCAAAACATTAAATCAAATTTTATGATTTATTAAATAAATTTTTAAAAATTTAAATTGTGGTTTTTAAGATTATTTATATATTCACTAATTTCGTGGTCCGCTTGACCATACAGTACATATTAAATAACTTCTAATTTATATAAATAATACAATTAATTAAGGTTTTGAGTTGAGATAAAAAAGTCAATGGCACGAGCGGGATTTGAAAAATGGCAAAAAGGAGGGAAAATTCAAAAGGTGGGGTTGAGATGGGAAGTTGGTGTCTGAGTGGATCGAGGTCACGATAGCTCAAGTGGTAGAGCAGCGGCGTATCAAGCTGAAGATCGTGGGTTCGAATCCCGCTCGTGCCATTGACTTTTTTATCTCAACTAAAAACCTTAATTAATTGTATTATTTATATAAATTAGAAGTTATTTAATACTGGGTTGATTGAAACATGTGAAAATGGACAAGGAAAGATATAAAAAAACTACAAAATTAAATAATAAAAGCTGGTTTTATCATTCATTTATATACAACAATTAAACTGTATCTTCTGTATAAAAATCTTTTTTTTTTACAGAGGGAAAATGTAATATTTTAACTTATTTACCAATCCTAACTTTTAGATAAAGAAAAGTAAACAATTTAAATATTTGCAAAGTTTGGTATTACCAACATATGAACAGATGTACAAAGCTGAATGTGGAAAAAAATGAGTTACAGGAAAATTGATGTAGATAATTTAAAAATTAACAGTCATTAAGGTCAATTTTTCATTGAACTGCAACTGAGTTTTTGTTAGCTGACAGAGAGTAATCACCATAAGAAGATCCTGTAAAAATAAAACAAAAATAGTATTTTGTAGTTTTTAGATTATTTATCTTTTATTACCTTAATGTTGGAATTGAACATCTCTTCGAACATTTCTGGCGAGATGGCTGGCACACTGTGGACCATGTCGAGTAGGGCGCGTCCGACTGCATTATCCTCGGGGGCTTTAGTGGCCAAGACTTGTTCTACATAAGTCAGAACGGCGTCAATCAGTTCCGATAGCTTATGGGCAGCCTCGGCGATCTGGGCGATGTCAGAAACTGGTTTGATGCCCGAACGGTCGTGTAACGTTTTCTGACAATGGCGTACTGAAAATTTGTTTATTTTACAAAACATTTCAACCAGAATGTAAGTTTCACAATAGACTTACAAGCGACAATTTCAGGCTCATAGCAGATAATTTCTACGGGGATCTGTGTAAACATGCTCCCTAATTTTCCACCCGGGACTCCAAGAGGTACACTGAAAACAATTTCAATTATGTAATTCTTGCTATTTGATAAAAGAAACTTTTATTATATATTTAAATGGTTCTATTAACCCAGCATCACGCATTCGTTGAGCCAAAGATGCTTAGAAGTACAGATATGAATTGTTCGGCGATTTAATTTTGAACCTTTTTGGTCTACCAATGTTATTATTTTTTCTCTCACTTTTCATTCTGTCATAACTATATTTCCCAGTTAAAAGGTTCCTTACTTGTACATTTTTATTACTTTATTTTTATGTATTCTAACAACATTTTGCGACACATAAACACTCTTTAATGAAATATGTAGCAGAAATTACTTCAGATATGATTTAATTCCCATGTGACTTCCTTCAAGCGTTGTGTCTAAAGTCATGTGGACAGGGTTGCTACATTCTCTCGAGTAGTATTCGTGAATGACGGACGAGTGACTGGTGACTTCGTTTCCAGTGGCCCACCAGCCAACGATGTTTTCCTGTTTGTTGACCTTTTGGTTCATTTCGAATAGGTCCTTGGCATACGTGAGCTCGGCTTCAACCTGTGTAGTAATGTAGAGTTAATACAAATTGGTTGGTTTGATCCTTTATTTTATAATACCATTTCTTCATACTCCTTATGGGGGACACAAAAGCAATTGGTCACTTCTACTACTCCTTTTTCAACCGTACCTGAAAAACATAAGGTGTGGTTTTAGCAGTATTGCCTTATGAGTTATGTCATAGGACTGAAGATGCCAAAGAGACAGTCAGATCAATTAATCAAAGCAGCATTAATCAAATGAATGATCAAAGGAGCTAACCTAAGCTCAATACACACACGTAGAAGCTATTTTAGAAAACTATCTGTTGACTAAATTTGCATTCCCTTTTTTTTCATGCTCTGGGACATTTGCTGATCCATTAATGTGTGCAAAACAGAAAGCAAATCTGCCTGTACACAATATCAGGTATCCTAGGATGCAGCAATGCTTCCTCCACTCAAGACTAAAATTATACAATATAATCTTAATACGCTGCTGTACGAAGCCCAAATATATGGATATAGCAATTTTATAGAAATGGAATGGGGTGTTGGTGGCCACAACGGTTCACGCGTTGATACGGCACCTAATAATCTAGCAGCCCTGCATTCAAACCCGGCATACTTACAAATGCTTTTTTTTTTTCCAAAAACACTGGCACTCTGAGGGTTAATGTTACCTCGTAGTTGAAATAACCTCGTACAAAAAAGAAAGAAAAATTGAAAACTACCAAATCTATTACTTCAAGAGAAACTTTGGAATCATTTGAAACATGCCTGCATACAGGTAACGTTGGGATTAGAACTAACATTTTTATGCTAGTAGGAATGACACTGAAACAGTGGTGCCAACTTTTCATGAGCGAGGAAAGATATCCTAAACCATGTATGCAGGATGTTGACCACCATATCATTGGAGGCCCATACACGCCAGGAACCCGAGTCTCAGCTCTTGGATTAATAGTTCAATAATTATCACTACACGATCCTACAGACAAGTTTTATGCATACGTTTTATTGTCATTTTAATGATTACCTTGTTATTCTTGTTTATGTGTTTTTTAAAATTAACTTTGACACTTTGATTTTTCATTACTTCCCTACATACAAGTATTTAATAGTCCTAATTGACAGGATTAATTATGTTAATTAATTGTACTTTTAATCTAAGGTCTTGGTTGAGATGAAACAGCAATGTGTCATTCGCGCAATTCAAACCCATGACCTTCGGCTCAATAAGCCATGGCTCTAATGGCTCAAGTGGTTAATAATTTAGATACCTAAACTATGTTGTAAAAGATTTGTTGCTCTTGATTTAATTAAAAAAAAAAAAAAAAAAAAAAAAAAAAAAAAAAAAAAAAAATTGCGAGGAAATCTGAACAAATATGGATATTATGTTATTATAAGGAAAACTAAGTGGTTTAGACAAAGAAGCTCTCTTTTTATCAATATTTTCCCCATCTTCAAAGCATGCGGAAGTTTGACCGATGCAGCCCCTGACTTATTTCTCCAAGGAAATCTCCCTTTTCAGGTTGCCAGGTCAAGATGAAGGATTAATCTTGCGAAAATAATAATTAAAGGGATGTGCTATAAATGGCATTCATCAGAATTTGTTCCATTGTGATTTGCTAGAAGCTGAGACACTCACATATTTTTTATAGATGTTCTTTTTACAATGGTTTAAGACCAAATTGTTTCCTCGATGCTGGGTGGTGTGACATTGCATTGCTTCTAACAAGCTGTTCCATAAAAGTGTATTTTTGAATGTTTAACTTTTTCCAGGTGGCACTTAAATTAATTTTATCATTACATAATAGGTTTGTTTCATCAAGCAAGGCACAAACCATTTGCGAACCAATCTGTGATTTCGCATGCATGAACATTGATTGATCACGAAATCTTAACGCGGAATGAATACTTTTTTTTTACAAGCGGAATCCATCAGTTTAGGTGGGAAACATACAAACATTTGCAATTGGAAACAGACTTTTTGTTGATATATATTTGTGCATTGTATATTATTTTGTAATGAATGCGGATTGCTGTTATCAGTGGAGAAATCTGTGTACTTCTGGCCTACCTAGGTACATATATTATTGGGTAAAAATGATACATGATCTTTTTATAAAATTATATTATTGGGTCGTTTGGAAAATAATGCAAATGTTTGATGGATTATCCTTTTGTTCGAATGTCAACACTTTAATACTCTATCAAACAAAAATGTTTGTTTACCTCATAGTACTTTGTTACTTGGGAGTAATTCAGACTTACTAAGATGTCAATGCGCGATTTTCCCATAATTTTGTTTTACCCGTTTAAATTCTGTGTCCAAACGGCCAGAAACATTACTGAAGTCTGGGGCGTTAGCTGTATGAGTGAGAGCACCATTGAGAGATGGTTTAAAAAATTTTGAGAGGGAGACTTTAGCCTTGAAGACCTTTGAAAGGATTTCTTCCATAGATGATGTTCTGCGAACTTTGGTCAAAGAAAATCCCAGAACAATTGGGAAAACTTGTAGCGAATCTTTCAGTTAGATGAAAAAGATCAAAAATTGGGTTCTTGCATTAAACTCCAAAAAAATTGTTGTTATGAAGTTTGCACAAAATCCCTTTTCTGAAACATAAATGAACCTTTTCTGGATAGAATTGTTACTTGCGATGAAAAGGGAATTTTCTATGAACAGCAGATGTTTTTCGATTTTCCAAAGCTCTGATGGACTTCATTTGTGCTTGCTTATCACAGCTCCTTGATGTTGAAATGTATTGCTCTCAAATTGAAGCAATGCACCAAAAATTGGCGTTATAGAAGCCATCTTTGATCAATTGGAAAAGACTGATTCCCTTACACAACTATGTTCAGCTCCATCTTTTACATGTGAGAACTGTTGGATCTTGGTAATGAGGTTCTGACTCACACTTCCTATTCTAGACCTCTCGCCTACTGACTACCATTTTTCTTTCCGACACCTGATGTTTTACAACATAAAAAATTCGTTTACAAAATTTGTTAATAACGAAGACTCAAAATTCTCTTCAGAGGGTACAGAGAAATTGCCATCATATTGGGAGAAGTGAATTGAGAGCAATGAAGGGTATTTTAATTAATAATTTTTTTTAAACCTGTTTTATTTTCTGTACAGCCCAATAATTTTATTATAATTAATATAATTATGAAGAATGATCTACCCAGAGCATAAAGGAGATGAAAAGCTTGACAACTCTAATTTGAACATTTCATTGACCGTTAAGCTAGTGCTACAGGATACTACAAAAAATTCCATTGGATTGTTCGTAGCATCGTAATGCAGGCGGAACTTCCAACCTACAAATGTTTAATGTCAAGCATCAAACATGTGTCTAAACATGTTCCGGTGGTCACAAGTCGTCCACAAAGTAAGTGATGTTTGTGTTGGACAACAGACACACAGCATTCTGCTATGGTGCAAACCGACAAACTGGCTGCAACATCTTCCAACGCCATCACTTTCCTCCTTACTAAAATGTTGGATCGAACATTCACCACACCTTAATCAAATGCCGAATCATTCGATACAAATGAAGGTTCGACGTATCGTGTAGCGCCGGGTTTATTTGAACTTTCATCATCAGAATTTCATAAATGTTACTCGTATGACTTTTTCCCCATTGTGTTATAGTGACACTTGCGCTATGGTTCCGGTCTCTTAGTAAAAAGCACACAATTGGCAAATTATAATCGAAATGTTTAATTAATCAAAACGTTCATGTTTTGCACAGTTTTGGGTAGAGGAGAGATGCGTAAAGGGTCAAATCCTTTGATCCCTCACGATGAATTAACCTCTTGTACTTACCGAGGAGCGTCCCGATAACACGATTAGCGTCGGCATTCCGCCTTTCGTAAGCGTCGACTATTTGGAAAAGGACGACCGGATGGACTTTAACAATCAAATTTAACGCCATTTTCAGGTTTTTCTTATTAAAAAGGTTCCTTGGGATTGACGTATAACGACACAAGACACATGGAACAACAGCTAGTGCACTGTAACCTTCACGCTGTTTCTTACTCACGTCACCTCTCGAATAGCGTAAAAATCTTTTAAGTATTTATACTTTCTTCTTTTTTATTATTTATTCCCGCGGGTAAATAGTATTTAAAATATTTATAATAAAATGGTTTATGTGATTAAAAATAAATATTGTGTTTTAGGAATCGGAAAATATCAGGGTGCCCCTCCGGTACAATTTGAGATCTTCGGATGGCCTGCATGACATTGTTCCTTGGGAAGCAACTAAAATCTCAACGAACATCTTTTTCCTAATCTATTTTATTTATTGACACCTCAATTGTTTCGCTTAAGTAAATTTGATAGCATTTTACAGTATAGAAACAAAATGAACGCAAAAATGTACATAAAACAGAAAGAAGAGGTACTAATCAGTACAGTAAAAAAGTGCAACCAGTTTCCTTCAAACTGTTTTTCTAGTTTCATGAAACGCGGTGTGCATGCCTCTGTGTATTTTAATAATCGGTTTCACGAAACTAGAGTTGGAAAAAAAAATAATGTGTGTACCGACTGGGAGTTGGGATTCACAATATTGATTCAGTACCAGGCAAATTGAAAATGAGTGGAATTTACTCATTGAACGTAAACAATCCCAAAACCTTATAGCAAATTTTGGATGAAAAGAAACAACAGCATCAAAGGAAGCAGGAAAAAATTTTGAATACTGACAGGATTCATAATAGAACACTGCAGACTGAATGGGCATTTGAAGAAAAATGGTACAACCAACGCGGCACTTGCAGATTCTGCAAAGAATCAGAGGAGACTCCAACACACATACTGACAAACTGTGGCGCCACATTTGCCCTTAAGAGGAAGTGTTTGGTGTTACATGGATGTACAAAGTAAAACCTGTCGTATTTCAACGCAAGCCTCTCCCAAGGCACAGAAAGGCTCGTGGCTTGGCGAATCTCGAACGTCCACTAGACACAAGTTAGAACGTCCATTGTGTACACTTTTTTAATGAATTCAGTTCAGAATAAACTGGTACAACTGCAACGAACAGATCGTGGGAACGGGTGGTCGAGCCGTACTGAGGCTTGTCATCCGTCGAGGAGTATTTAACCATTCGCGGGAAAGGACGAGCCACCTCGAGCAATAACGAGTCTTTAAGTTCCCACGAGGTATGACAAACTTCAGTTCGTCAAGCTACACGCCGTGGAAACAAGGCTTAACTTTAAGAAATCCAACTACTCAAACGGTGCCTATCAAATTTCTTGACTAGGACTCACCGGTACAGAACGAAGAATACAATAGCACGCCAAAGGCGCTGTATATTACCCACCCGAACCATTACATCTATCGAATGGGAGATGGATGGACGAATTTGGTGAAAAATTTGCAAGATTTAGTGAGAAAAAATAAGATGGTGATGATATTTCCTTGGAATGTACAAGTCCATACCTATTTTTTTGAACAGTTTTATTACAAACTAATTGTAAAGGTTGTAAAGGTTGTGTATTATATTTAGAAAAAAATTAAAAAATGGCTGTTGACACGAACTCCTGTTTCATTCGACTTCGCTGGGTGATGCGTACAAGGCTGAGAATTGTTCACGCCCTAGTGATTTTGTTATTAAACCCCCGACCGGGGTCGATCCTGGATAGTAAGGTGTGAATAATTTCCTTTGAATAAAGCCCTGCCGTCTATTCGTTTTCCTACAGCTAATCTTAATCTGCATATATCGTATTAATAGAGCGCGATCACGTTTTGCCACGTCGCCTCATGTTTATGGTATTACTGGAAGGAAACAAATTGGCCATTTCTCGTAAAACATACTGTAGTAAATGCTAATAATAACAATAATTGTTAAATTAGTCAAGTAAGAAGTAAAACAACACTCGAAAGGTTATTTGAAAAACACGTAAGGGGTTGCATCCAAAAGAAAATCCTATAATCAGCACTACACCAAATGACTTACAAATAGACGATTCACCATGATGAACCACCGAGAAATAACATTAGGAATCTTCTTGGACAATGAAGGAGCATTTGATAACATTCCTTTCGCAGCAATGGTTACATCACTGAAACAGCGAGGAACTGATAAATCTGATGCAGATGGAAAAGCAGAAAAGTGTTCCACGAAAAAATAGAAGCAGTGGTGGCGATTGGATGTCCGCGAGGCGAAAAAATCTCACCTCTGCAGTGGAATGTGATAGTGGATGCCCTCCTACGCAAACTAATGAACGCGGAATCTATACTCAAGGCTATATAGATGACATTGCCATGTTAGTCAGAGGAAATTCGACTTAACATTAAAAGAGCTCACCCGAACAGCACTAAACATGATGGAACAATGGTGTCCACAACGGGGACTAAAAGCAAACCCTTCAAAAACTACCCTAATTGCTTTAACCAAGAAACGAAATATAGAAATATAAGGTCTATGCTTCTATAATGAAATGCTGCAGTTAAAAAATGAGGTTAAATGCCTAGGAATTGAAAAAAATTGAACCTGGAACCCTCACCTGCAGAATACTAAAGCAAAAAGTAAAATATCGCTAACCACAAGAAGAACAATAGAGATATCTTGGGGATTAAAACCAATGGCCCATTGGCTCTACACGGCAGGAAAAAGACCCGAAATAACCTATGGATCATTAATCGGGTAGCTCAACGGAAAGTAGCTACTCAAACATTAGACAGGATGCAAAGATTAGCAAACCTTTGCATCACAGAGGCAATGAGAACAGCCCCTAAAATGCACTAGAAACTCTGCTAAACCTATCTCCACTGGAAATATTCATATAAGGAGAAGGCAGGAAAAGCTCATGTAGATTATAAAAACAATCAAATTGGGTGGGAACTAAAAAATTCGGGCACATAACCATAATTAACATAACCAGACACCCATTCTTAGAAATGGGGACTCACTACATGTTCCCGGAAGCATTCTTTACAACCTACTAAAAAGTTTCAACAGACTATAAAGGAGGAGAAAAACTCAGGAGAGCATCAGATACAATGGTATGGTATACAAATGGCTCCAAAACAAACGAAGGAACCGGATTGGACGTTTTCTGTACAACTTCAAGACATGAGCTATCAAACTCGTTAGGGAAGTACACTTCGGTCTTTCAAGCAGAAATACATGCCATCATTGCTTGTGTCCTAGAAAATCTTAAAAAAGGTTACACTGGCAAAAAATCCTCATATGATCTGATAGCCAAGCAGCTATTAAAGCATTAGCGTGTAAAAAAATCCCATCAAAACTAGACAGTGAATGCATCCAAAATCTCAAAAAGCTGGGAAACACAACAACGTGGTGATATCTTGGGTCCTAGGGCACAAAGGAAATTTGAATAACGAACAAGCAGACACATTGGCCGGAGGAGGAACTGCAAGAACATACAGGCCCAAACCTATACTTGGGATAACAAAAATAAATATAGAATCTTCTATCGTAGGATGTGTCTAATTAAAACAAAAGGAGAAGTGGATAAACTCCAGCGGCGCTGTACACACAGTAAACTTATGGTAAAGCAACCCTCACCAAGACTGGCAAACTCACTGCTGCAAGTGGAGAGGGCTAAACTCAGAGGAGTATTAACCGGACACTGGCATCTGAGAAAACAACTACACAACATGAGCGTATATAACGATGATCCCATCTGCGATCATGTAATGATTATTTAATGAGGAGAAAGGAACAGCCATCCATATTATCTTCGAAGGCGAATCAACGGCTCAATGACTTAACCTTGCATACAGAAAAAACCTAGGGAATGAAATTGCAGCAGCAATAGTCAACGATTTAATACTTCTGAAAAAAAGGATTGAGTCGATTGCTCTGAACTATGGAACTAGGAAGGTACAATAAGCCAGAAGGCTGCAGTGCCTGGGAAGACCAAATGCCGCTTCCTAGAATCCTTATCACCATCACCATATGGACAAATAAAAGTTGGGTAGTTGCCGTGGATTTAATATTACTTAATCTCAGTAACTCATCCGCCTATCGCACCGCGTACGTACATACAAATTAGCCTATCTAAATCGACAAGTCCATGGGGTACTCGGTCACAAATCTGTCGATACGTACACACATTTGCGCATTTAAATACATTCACACATTCGGGGTAGTCACCGAGGTTGTTGTATTACTCCAGTGCCATATCTCTTCATACCACATACTTACATTAACCTAACTACTTTGCCGAGTGAGGTACTCTATATTCCATCTCAGACTACCTGCGGATGTCTCCTCCAAAGTGAAGTCCTGCGATGCCCGCTCAGCGCAAGAGTCAGCGGCCTCATCCCCTTCCTACCTACATGTCTTCGAACCTAGCTAAGAACACTTCTAGCTCCCACTCCGTTTCCAGATTTTTTCACCTTCTCTCTAATTGCGGTAATCATTGGTTGTTGGTTTTGTATTGTTTTAGACTATACAGCTCATATCATTCGGCTATCGGTGAAGATGTGATGATCGTTACGCCCCTCACTTTTTGGAGATCTGAGATAGAGTCTTTAACCTCTTCCAGGTTTGTCTGTACCAACCGATTTTGTGTGTGCCTATTTTCCCACTTTCATTTTTAACTTCGCCGAAAACACATCATTACTCACCTACGAGACAAACGACTTGCATGGAATCTTCATCCGGGACTTAAACGTAAAAATGTAAATACAAGATTCAGACTACTTAAAAGACTACTTGACAAACAATCTAAACTTATATTAAAAAAAGACTATATTCTGCCCTGCTCGTCTGTTTATGACTTGAAATAAAAGATTAATAATTCCACATGAAAACTTAGAAATTCAACGATAATTTAAAATGCAAAACTAAATAATTGCAAATAATAATAATTATAAAATAAAACATAGCCGCATATTTATTTATGCATCTCGGCATTTGTTTAAAATATAAGGTACTATAAATTTATGGGATAAGGTCAATTAAAGAATAATTACATTTTAGCTTATTTCGTAAACACTTTTAGTACGAATTGAAATATTGTTTTCAATATATGATTGTTAACAAAACATTGGGATA